TTAATTTAATTAAAAAAAAAAACACCTTTTCTGTGAAACAGCTATCTAGGAAAAGTTATTCTCTTCACAGAAGAAAGAAAGAAAATATTGCTCAAATAAGTATTTGAAAGAAATCTGTATTATTGGATATAATTAAATCTCATAAAGCCTTAATGACTTTCTGAAAGATAAAATTCCCCAGCAGCTTCTCAAAAATTCATGGAGGGCAAATCTTCTAGACATGTAGGAATCGAGGTTATTCTTGTGATCCATTACCTTCACAAGTGACATCGGGATCAGAAATAAGATAACCATCTCCTCTTTATGGTCTACTATAAACACACTTCATCTGCAGCTGAAAAAGCAGAAGCGTTGCTCTTTTTTGATGACTTTGGGAAGGATGTCCATGCTTGGCTACCTTTGGAGCCCTCAGCTGCCTCCACGCAGCAGCAGCTGGCTGGCACTCCCAACATGTGATTGTCTGCTGTTGAAAACTGTTATCAATAAAAGTTTGCTGTTTTCTTCCAAACACAATAACCTGTCCCAACCTGTGCCATTAGCCTCAACAGCTAACAAAAAACGAGGCTCTTGTAGCTGCTCCCCAGGAACTAATGGCCTGAAGCCATAAACTGCTACTTCATGCTAATCTCTCAATCTAAGAAACTTCGGGTCAGTTTATCTTTGGTAAGAGATCTCCAGGCACTAAAGGAAAGAAGTTGTTGAGTAATGTTCCTTCCTCTGGGGCTACTCAATCAGCACAGGACAATTATTGTGGAGTCTGGTCTCTCTAGCGAGGGATTAAGCCAGAGCAATGACCACTTACGGTCTTAAAAGACCCTATTACCTCTTTTTATTATATTGACATGGTTGTTCAGGCTAAATTCCAGTTTGGATAATCACATTCTGCTCTGCAATTAGAGAAGCAGTCTGGCAGGCAGGTAAATGTGGAGATGACCTTAGGAGACTGACTCAGCTCTACCTCCGTGCTTTGCAGCACAACTAATACCTTTGCTGTTATGTCTCTTCACATACTTCACGGTTTTTTTGTGAGCCTTTCTTTTGCTTACCCAGCTGGAAAGCTAAAATATCTTAATATCCTAATATCTTGCCTGAAAATTAAAGCAGTTACTTCTTGTCCCACTTGCAGCGGGCCTACAGAATGATTGGTCATTATGCACTTCCAAACCAAAAAAAAATAATTATTTTTCAATTGGACAAGTTTAAACGCACACCTCTTGTAACCTACTTTTTTTTTTTTTTCCTGTTTAAAGCAAGTCCTGGCTCTTTCAGGCTTTCCTCAGAGGTCCCTCCTCTACCCCTTCACATCTTTTCCTTCCCTTTGAGGTCATCAGCTTGGAGGAGTCCAGAACTAACAATGCTCCAAAGAATAAATAATATCCAGCTCTTCAGCATTACACTGCTTTTTTGCAAACAAATCATAGCTGTGATTCACATTCGTAGAAGCTAAGACATTAGTCACAATCTGACAAGCCATTATTTGACTTGGGAATGAGTTTTCTCTTTCTGAAGTTTCTCAGGTTTTCTTTAAGAGTTTTGGGTCTTGCTCATCAAGATGCAGAGTAACTCTCTATTCAAGCAGCATCCAAAGTTGTATAGATTTTTAAAGAAATCAGCGTGAAGACAATATACATACAAGTACGCCATGAAAAGACCTAATACATTTGCTTTGTAGATGTGTAGAATTCAAAAAGACTGAAGGCAAATATTTTTATACCCATAGATGTGAAAGAGTATCCAAAACAACACCAGGTTCACTTTGGTATGTAGGTTCCATACTCCCCATCTTTCAATAAGTCCAAGAGACAAAGATTTACTGCTGATACTACAGCTTTAAAATTGAATCTAGTGGTTTGCTTCTAGTCTCACAAAACACACCATTTCAGAAAATACACCTATGGCTACAGCCCAGGGATGGAAGCATTACGCCAAGCCCATGTTCGGGGAACCCTGGACCGCAAAACCCAGCTAAACCTGGGCAGAACACAATAAGTCAAACTTCGGTTTTTATCAGAGAAACAGCTCTGAGACTGCGAGCTTCAGCAAGTAGAGCTACAGGAACCTAAAACATCTGCCCAGACTAAAATCTGATGGGTTCTGTTATTTGCTTTTTGTATGTAACTGCACTGCACCATGTATAACTATTTTTTTCTCCTCCTACACGGAAATAAATCTGTCCAAAAGTCAAGTAAATCCAACTTCTCCTAACCAGACTCATTGAAAAGCCTTCCTCCCCTTCTATTTCAAAACACAAGAACGTAACATAACTTTTTATCACAACCACTGTGATAAGAATTTGCTGTTATTTCAAATTCCAAATGCAACATTTTATTATTTTTTTTAATTATCAGAGTCTGCAATAACATTTTCAAACTCCCCTCCCATACTGCTGCACTACATGGATATGGATCTCACCAATACCTACTGCATGAGCAGGTACATGTCAGAATTCTAACTGCTTACATATAGCTGAAGTTTTGCTATATATTCCGTGTGTTCCCATAGCAACACTTAGCACCAGCAGAGTTTAGAGTCATTTTATAAACATAAATCTCTTGATAATAGGATGAAGGGGAATAGTTTTAAATTGAGACAGAGGAGGCTTAGGTTAGGTATTAGAAGGAAGTTTTTCCACACAGAGGGTGGTGACGCACTGGAACAGGTTGCCCAAGGAGGCTGTGGATGCCCCATCCCTGGAGGCATTCAAGGCCAGGCTGGATGTGGCTCTGGGCAGCCTGGTCTGGTGGTTGGCAACATGCCTGCAGCAGTAGGGTTGAAACTACATGATCATTGAGGTCCGTTTCAATCCAGGCCATTCTACGATTCTATCCTATCAATTTTTGACTCTTATTTGTCAGCAAGACCAACAGCATCTGGTTTTCAGTGATTTTCAATTAGCATTCTTTGTGCCTGAACACCAAGTGCTAAGGGACAGACACTTGTAACCTCGGTGGCAAAACCTTTTCATCTGCCATGCAGTCACTTTCCCCACTGACACAAATTTATCAGCAATCACAAATAAAGCATGTTTACACCAGCAATTTATTGAAGAAACAAGGACCATTTTACGGGCTAACTCCCATCCTTCCCACCCTGTCTGGGTATGGTTTTCCTCCCTTTTCATGCTGTTTGCTTGACTACAGCTCTGCTTCAGAAAGCTTTAACATGATTCCAAGTAGTCAACAATAATTTCCCTGCACGTCACTGCAATTTCTTTTACATGGCCAGAAAATAAAATATTCAACTAGACTTGTGGAAATATTCTATTCATCTGTCTTTTGTTTTACGCCAGTGATGTAAGTGGAAGCAGAGTTGTAATGAAATGGCACTGAGAAAACACAGCAAAGCTGGCTCTCACTGATTTTTTTTATTACTGCCATCCTGCTGGCTCACACATCACAATATATTCCAACAACAGCAACAAAACCACCAGTGGGGGAAAAACACTCTTGAAAGCCTCTGCAGACTCCAGAAATGGACTGACAGTGCTTTGCAAACAAACAGAAGACACAAAAGCATCTAAAAACTGTGGTGAAATGCAGTCACAACCTGGCACAGCTGAGCTGCCTGGCCCTTGCTCTCAGGGTTCCACCCCTCTTCCTCAGCCCAAATCTCTGTGTCCTAGCCAGGTGTCTTTCCACATGGGTGGAAGGATGCTGATGCAAAGGGCCACGTGGTGTGCACTCTCATATTGCTGGCTCCCAACTTAGGACTGCCTCAGAAAAACAGTAATGTTCGTTTAGCGTATGCTTTACTTTGGTCTCCTGTGTTCAATGCCACGCTTAGCGCGTGCTTTCAAAAAACCACTTGAATTCACATGGTTACAACTGTTTTTCATATGAATGCTGAAATTATTTCATAATTCAAATCACAGAACGGCTCAGGCAGGATAGAACAGATCTCAAAGCCCACCCAGTCCCAGCCTGTGCTGTAGACACGGCTGCCACCTCCCAACTCAGCTGCCCAGGGCCCATCCAACCTGGCCTTGAGCACCTCCAGGGATAGGGTATCCACAGCTTCTCTGGAATTATAGTCACTCAAAATCTGGAGGTTGGGGAAATACAAAGTAACTTAACCTCAAAATCAGAAGAACTGACACTGCAAGACCCAGGCGCCTTAACCAGGTGTCTACATCACAGCACACTGCAAGGCCAGTAGTCCTTACAGAATCATTAAGGTTGGAAAAGACCACTAAGACCATCTAGTCCAACCATCAGCCCATCCCCCCCATGCCTACTAACCACATCCCTCAGTGCCACATCTCCACATTTCTCAAACGCCTGGAGGGATGGTGACTCCACCACCTCCCTGGGCAGCCTGTGCCACTGCCTCATCAATCTCCTGAAGAAGAAATTTTTGCTAACTTCCAACCTGAACCCCCCTTGGTGCAACTTGATGCCATTCCTTCCCAGCCTATCGCTGTTACCCAGAAGAGGCCAACCCTCACTCACTGCAACCTCCTTTCAGAGAGCTGAACGAGCACAGTAAGGTCTCCCCAAGCCTCAAACAATGGCACCACACGACAATGCCTTCCTCACTTCTGGCAGTGCTGGAGGAACGTGGCATTCAATAATTTCCCCTTCCAAACCATCCAGGAAAGCTGGGGCAGAACCAGAACTTCCCTTTCTCCAACACAGCTCCTCACGGAGGAAGAGGCAAAACTCTGAATTCAAACCACCCCAGAGTTCACTCACCAACTCAGCTCTAAATAAGCTTCACTTTAACACCAGCACCACGCTTGGCCCATTCCACAGAAGCCTATGGCTTTACTCTTGCTAAGGCAGCAGCTATTCACTCTGCTCAGGCCCCAGCTCTAGGGATAAGCAGTGCGATTCCCACACGGCCGTTCCAGCTTCCCCAAGCGCCAGCTCCACACAAAGCATCAGCCCCGACAGCAAGAACACCCCACGACAAGGATCCCAATCCTCTCGTTCCTTCCAGAAACCAAGCGTCGCACCCGCGAGCTGGGGCTGCCCCAGGCCCCCCGCCCGTCCCTGCCCTACCTTCTTGCCCGGCCTGCCGCCCCGCCGCCCGCTCCGCACGTAGGTCACCCGCCGCCGCCCCGAGGCCGCCGCCGTGCCGCGGGGCTGAGGGACCGCCCGCCCCGACGCCGCAACGGCGGGCAGCCGGGGTCTCTCCTCCGGGCACCACGAACGCCGCACGGCCAGCTGCAGGCAGAGCAGCAGCGCGGCCGAGAGCACGCAAAGACGGAAAGCCGCGCCCCGCCACAGCGGCCGCTCCTTGGGCATCGCGGCCCCGCCGCAGGGCTCATGCCGCCGGCGGGTCGGGCCCGCGGCCGGCCTGAAAAGTGGGGAAACCCCGCCCCGAGCGGGGCCGGCCGGGGAGGGGCCGCGCTGCCCCCCGAGCACCGAGGGCCGTCGGGGGAGGGGGCGGCGGCGGTGGCGGCGGCGGTGGCGGTGGCGGTGGCGGTGGTGGCGGTGGCGGCGGTGGCTCAGCGGGTGCGTGGGGCCGGGAGAGGGGCTCGCGGGTGGTAAGGCTGTGGGGCAGGTCTTAAGAGCAGGAGCGTGAGGAGCAAGGCTCGAAGAGGGGGAAGATCCCGAACTCACTTTAGAACTTTTGTCAAAGTCTAAACCTTGAGAAATTGGGGCTTTGGGGAAAGCTTGAATTTGTTCTCCAAAAGAGTGGTCAGGCGCTGGAATGGGCTGCCAGAGAGGTGGGGGATCACTGCCTCTGAAGGTGTTCGACACGCGTGTAGATGTTGTAGTAAGGGACATGATTTAGTGGGGAAATATTGGTGGGAGGTGGATGATCCTGGAGGTCTTTTCCAACCTTGGTGATTCTGCAGTTCTATGATTGCCCTCCCAAAATGCTAGTTAACACATTCTGGGAGGATGCTGCTGAAAGCCACCCTGATAAAGAACACTTTGTGAATTTTACTCAATGTTTTCTTCTTGCTTTTGTATTTTAACCAGCTATTGAATCTCTTGTTGCTCTCCCCCATCTCTTTTAAGTGCAAGTCTGTCTGTTAAGAACCAAATGGGGATTCCAGAGACAGAGAAAAAGGGAGCATTGGTAGAGAAGGATCTGAGGAAATACTGGGAACAACTGGAAGCCTTATCTGGGCTAGCACAAGAATCAGTGGGAATTAAGGTGGTACCTTCATCAGTTGCACCTCTCCAGCATCTTCTTAGTTTTGACAAGTGAGTTATGAACTAATTTCTTCCCCCAGGAATCAGCTGCAAAGACACCTGACTGTGAGCAATTCCTGTTAAGAAGAGAAGCAAATTAGAATTTCAGCATAATGTTTTCAGCTCCAGTTTGACTAGGGGAATGATCTCAGCCCTTTTGAGATGGTTTTTGGGAAATAGAGCCAAGCAAATTTCCAGAACTTCTGCAAAATGTGCACTTTCTGGGACAGGCAGCAAATGGCCTCCCCTCCCTATTGTCCCCCAAGAAGATGGATAGCCTTAGGGGAAAATACATTGTGCTGGATCCAACAGAGAACATACAGCAAGGAGTAACAGAAACATCAGCTTTGAGCATGGAATACCTACTGAGAGCAGGGAGCATTATGCCTTTATCTACACTAGTAGATAGTGATAGGACAAGGGGGAACGGTTTTAAGGAGGGGAGATTAGAATTGGATGTTAGGAGGTAAATTTTCGCTGGGAGGGTGTTGGAAGTCTGCCCAGAGAGGTTGTTCAAGGCCAGATCAGAGGGCCCTGGGTGATCTGATCTAGTACCTGATTTAGTAGTTGGTGACCCTGCCCACAATTTGGAACTGAATGATCTTTGAGGTGCCTTCCAACCTAAAGCATTCTATGATTCTGTGCTTTATAACTGACATCAAACATGAGCCCTGCACTTTACTTTCTGTATACATAGCACAAATTGCTACAGCTCACTTCATTTCACCAGAAGAAGTCTTTAAATATATAACATTCCTCCGGAATTTACAAATTGTCCTAGCAACAGAGCAGTAAACTTCTGGAGGGGAAAAGTTTAGTGATAGTGGGAATTAATTGCTGCAGTCCTGTGTTTTGCTCAGAACTTAGATCTCGTCTGGGATATTGTTGTGTAGCAAAATCTCTGCTGACACTGGCGAGTTCTCCATTATAGCACAACAAACTTCAGCAGATCACATCATAGTTCAAAGAGTCCTAAAGGTCCTTGTGAAGCAAGTACTCTATTGGGCTGACTACCACCGCCAGAATCAGCATCTGTTGGTTGGGCTCATCCAAACAAGTCCAGGTGAGGCTCCTCTTGCTCCAGAGGACTTGGAGGCTGAAACCACCTGCAGCCAGCTGAAGAAAAAGGTTGATTTTGTGCTGGGTTTAAGAAAACCTGAAAAGCTGAGAGCCACAAGGCTGTAGGTTTGTGAACGTCACAGGAAAGGCAAGATAAAAACAAATTCCTTCGGCTTTCCCTTGCCAACTCCTTTGCAGCAGTCCTTAAATGCTCATCTCCCTTATGGCCATTCTCAGCTCAAACCCTGTGCTTTCCACCACCCATCTTCAGCCCCACCCAGCCTCGTGGCTTGCATCTGCCTTCTGGCTTGGAACGATGTCTGTCTGCCCAAATCTCCAGGCAGAGCTAAACTCCAGGCAGGAAAAATACCACTGGGAATTCACTGGATTCTCCAAGGGCTGCTAATGAAAGTAAAATATTCCTTCTATAAAACAAGTGAATGAATAAAAATGCTGTTTTCTGCTTGGCTTAACAGCCCCATTTGGCATGAGCCTTTTGCCAAAATCTACAGGACAGAGCAAAGGACGCTCTTTTTTCCATGCTTGAACTGGAAATGCTGGTAGTAGTCATTCATGCACAAGGTGACAGACCTTTGCAGGAGCTCTACTTAGAGCTCTGTACTCTAAATCCTACTTACAGCTCAGTGAAAGCATTCTGTGCCAGGGTCACAGGCAGAAGCACTTTCTCCTCTCTCACAACAAAGAGCCAAACAACATGGCTTGAATTTCAAACATGATGAAAGGGATATTTGATAACTAATGGTTCAAAAAGGGGATTTGAGATCAAGGCTTACCTCTGAGCAATGCTCTGGGGCATCCCTTCCTGCAGGTATGAGTACCTGTGTGTGTGCCCATGTTCATGCTGAAGACAACCAGGAGGATCTTCAGAGAGATCTCCTGCAGCTCTGCTGTCCCCAGCCCTTACATTTGTTTACTCAAGTCTCTGCCTTGTGCTATCCATAATGAGGCCATTGCCTCCAGCAATCAGTATTTCACTCCCAGAAAAGAACAACAGGGATTTTACCTTCTGCCCGTTACTAAATTGTGTAATCATTCTGAGTGAGCAAAACTGCTTTGCAACAGCAGCAAAGTCTGACAATCTCATCAAACAGATCCAGTCTACACATTGAAAGCATGTATTGCTGGTTTTTTTTCCAAAGACGTTTCGGTTTAGAGGAATCAATTAGGGATATCTCATATGCAGTTCACATGCTATTGCAGAAATATTTCTGTGATACTAGCTTGTTGTCTGCATTCCCCCTGTATCTATACTGCAATGCCAGTCAGATGTCCGGCTTTGCTTAAAAATTACTCCAAATTCCTATTACGAACTCTTCGGTATGCTGTAAGGATTACAGTGGTGATGCACTGGGTGCTGCTTTCTCTCTCCTTTTATTTGTTCATGTATTTATTTTGATACAATCAATTTTACAGGTATTTTTGCACTTCCGAGCTTGAGGATGAATATCTCTCATTTTAAAAATGTAATTTGGAAAAGGGATTAATCCATAATGGTCAGAATTCTGCAACATATCAGAGCTAGAGTAAAAATTATGGCTTCAAGAGGTTATATAAGCCTTTTTACAACATGCTTTTAATGGGCTTACACTATGTGCAAGTGCCAGAATATTTATACCAGGTGACAGTATACAGTATACACTGGTGAGAATGCTGGACATCACAGCCTGATGGTGAAGGAACTCCCATCTGCACACCCAGGGAAGAGCTCTCCAAGAAAGAAGGCTTGCAGGGTGCAGTCCTGGGGCTGCTCAGCAGCAGAGAGCCAGGCAGCAGTTCCACGAACAAATTAAGAGCCGTGACTGATGTGCTGTGTGTTTTTTCTGTTCTGGCGATGTTGTTTGATACACTGGCTTGTGTCACTACCATCTATACCTCATTAAAGGCAATAGGATAAAATAGAAGCTGGAAGAGGCTGGTAGCATCTCCGATGGATATGTTGGGTAAAAAGCAGTGAGGTTCTACAGAGAGAAGGCGTGCAAAAATGTCCAGGCCAGTTTAAAAATACACTTCCACCTTTCATAAAGGTCTCACCCACCCAGGAATGTGTTGCATGTATCCAGGACACTAAATTCCATATCACTGCCTTTATGCATAACAAAAAGCTTGCTCTTCTGAAATATAACCATGTGGTCAGCCAGACCTCCCCTCCTGCTGGCTGCATTTTAAATGGCTTATCAGAATCCTAGTGATGAGGAGATGAAAGTCCTGGCCAGCATGCTGCCAGCACAGCTAGGACCAAGAGGGGAGGATAAAAGCTTGCACTGTTCCTGCAGGCTGGAAAAGCAGGCAGCTTGCCCTCAGTGCTATGTGGAGCAGCTATGTGTGCAGGGATATCGCTGCTGGTTTGAAGAGAAATAACCTCCTTAGCCGATGGTTTGTATCTAGGTTAGGTGTTACCGCAGGGGATGTACTTTTGGCAGGTGTTTGCCCACAGCACATTCATCCTTGTCATGGACACAGAAAGCAGAGGTCAGCCAGTTGCTTTGAAGGGATGCTGGGAAGAATGAGGTGAGTTTGTGAAGATTTCGTACCTCTGCAGAGTGACCCAGCTGGCACTGCACAGCGAGAAACATTTAACAGGGCTCCTACCTGCCCCACAAGACAGAGGAGGACCTGCCACCCCAAGCCACATTGGGTTCATGGGAAGAAACCTCCTGGCTGCAGCCCAGGGCATCGCAGCAAGCAGGGAGCAAACCCAGCACAGAAACCTGCAGTACAGCAGCTAGAAAGGCAAATTTTCCTACAGCATCACAGTATGGCTGAGGTGGGATCAAACCTCTGAATCCACAGATTTGTCCCTGCCTGAGCAGGGACACCTCCAGCAGGGTGCCCGGCTCTCATCCAGATAGCTTCCGAAGATCCCTCAGGAGGAGACCCCACAGCCTCTGGGCAGCCTGTTCCTGTGCTCTGTCACCTGCACAGCACAGCAGCGCTGCCTGGTGCTCAGAGAGAGCCTCCTGTGTTTCGCTTTTTGCCTGTAGCCTCCTATGAAATCAAGGACTTCTTGCTCAGTCCTTGTGCTG